TTTGAGTTTATGACTTCTCATTAGAGTTTACATTAATTCTCATTTTTGTAATCTTGAGCTTTGAGAATTCAGAGTATTATCTCAACTAATCTGCAGTACAGCTCCTGTTGTCTACTAATTAAAAGGGGTATATGTCTTGGATTTTTCTTATGTTTCTCCAGTAGTCTGACTGGAAGAGAAATGGTCTTTTGTTTCAGACATAAATGAAAGGATTTGCTATGGATGTTTATAAAGCATATTAATTAAGAGACTTTGGAGTCTGCTTTAGTTTGAATCTGCTCTCATTAACCAGCTAGATGATTATGCAATTTAACTTCTTTCCGTCTCAATTTTCTCATCTGTAAAATGAGTTTGTTTTGAGTAGTAAAAGAGAATGCCTGTGACTAAATGCTTTAGCATAGTGCCTTGTGTGGTCAAATTTTAGCTGTTATTGAGTTTAATATAAAAATGCTAATAGCTGTCTTTCAAAATGTTTGCCATAACTTTTTTTTTCTCTTTCAGCCAAATGATTTCTCAGTATCACTAAAAGCACAAGGGAAGAACAAGCATTTTAAAGTCCAACTAAAAGAGACTGTCTACTGCATTGGGCAGCGTAAATTCAGCACCATGGAAGAACTTGTAGAACATTACAAAAAAGCACCAATTTTTACAAGTGAACAAGGAGAAAAACTGTATCTTATCAAGCATTTATCATGATACTGCTAACCAGAAATGACTGCTACACAGCTGTAATTTGTCATGTAATTGAAGACTGAGAAAATGTCAGTCCAATCGTGCTTGATTGGAAATTGCTGTTTCTGACTCTATATGAGAATTGACCATATAAAACATAAGTATTTTTATTGTAATTAATCCTATACATGTATACTACATATGCAAATCATCTGCATAGAGCAATTCTTTATCCTTCCTTAGTCTTCTGTTTTTTGGTTTTCTTTGCTTTTAATATTAAGGGGTTTTTTATTTTGAAAAAAAAATGATGTAGATCAAAAGTCTATATAAGTAAGAATTTCCTTACTGCCTTTTCTTTATTTTCTTGTGAGGGCACAGTGTTATTTCTACATTGATTTCTCATAATATAAAATTACTATATCAATATATGGCACATACTAAAATAAATTTCTTGGAAAGTGTGAATCTTTTCTGTGACTAAATAGCAATAATAAATGGAAAATTAGAAATTATTTTTAGGTATTGTATTTGTTATAAGCCATTGTAAATATTGTGTCTGCCATTATTTTAAAAAATTAAATGTAAAGCTAAACAAATGGGAAATAGATTAGAAGACATATCTTGTACAATTTTAATGAACAACTATTGTAAACCTTTAAATTTCTAAGAATTTTGGGTGCTTCTTGTCTGGTTATTGGAAACAACAAAGCAGTCAATGAGATATTAGCTTTTTCAAACTCAATGAATGTTCTAGTGTTAGTCCTCCAACCCCTTTTTGCCAAAGCATCATGTACTAGGATATGTAATATCTGTGTCAGTGTGAAGAAAGCTATGGCCAAATTTGGGGGGAAATTGAAAGTAATAAGATTCTTTGTTTTCCCCCAACCCTAATAATTACCAAGTAGGGTATTTCTCCTATTTTTGAGTTTTGTTGACTGGGACACTAAAGTTAATGCATAATTGATGTATAACTGCTCATAGTTAGAGAACATAATTTAAAAATTTTTATTTTTGCAGGTGCTTCTATTATGTTTTTGTTTACCAAGCACAAGTTTAGATGTGTCGATAAAGGCTGCTATGGAGTATTGAGTCTACTTCTGTAGGTCACAGAAGGAAACCAATAATATTTTACAGTCACAGCTTTCTCCCATTATTAATTCTGGAGATTTAAAGTAGCCTTCATTTTTTTAATTGAAAATACTAGAATCACGTAGCTTATCAAACAGTAGGAAGTCATGATATTTTCAAAAATTTCAATACAATTCTTCGTAATTGCATGAGTTTTCCATACTTTAATGTCACAGGCTATATTTAATACGTCGGGATTACTGATGTTAAAATTGAAGTTTTCCAATTCATGAGATTTTTGTTTGATGGTTTTCTTTGATATATTTCAGATTTTTTTAATTCTTACAATCACTGAAAGACTTATGTTGCCACTGGGTGGCAGCCCTGGCTTCTCCCACTGAACAACAGGAGTCAGCAAATATAATTTAGATATTGGTGTACAGGTTTTCATCTTTATTACATCTGCTTTTAAAGCCTTCTAGTTCATATTTCATTTTCTTTCTCAGTTCCCCTTTGTTTATTGAAATGACTATTAGTAGGTAAGTTTAATGGAAATAAAAGTTTAATATACTTACCATTTTTTGGTTGTAAAAATCACTTGACTATAAACTGAAAAAAATAGGCTTAAGTGGTTATAAATGTCTAGGTAGTAAACATCTCTTTATTTTTTACAAACATTTGATGGTTTTTCTTACTGGTATCCATCTCTATGGTTGTTTTTTTCAGTCTTTAAAAAATGAATGTTTAAGAAAGACTAATACAAACCATTAGCTATTTATAGCAAACCTCACTGAGCTGATAAGGATTTTGAGACTGGGGCTAGGAATACATAGTGCTGGAAACAGAATACATATTTCTTTGCTATAATGAGGTTTTATAATAACGAGTCCCAAATTGCTCATGTGTGTGCCAATAATATCGATTTTATGCTCTTATTATGGGATGGAAATGTCACTGGGAGCTGCTTAATTTTGTACTTCAACATTTTATCAAGTCTTTAGTTTTTAATCCTTACCAGTGAATTTTTATGAACATGAATTTTACTTGAAGGAATTTTTTTTTTTTTTTTTTTTTTTTTTAGCTCTTCCAGAGCAAAATCTGATTTAATACCAACCAGGGCAAGGTACACCAGATTCACTGCTAGAATTATTAAACTGAGACTTTAAGTAACATGAGATTATTTTAAAATAACATTACAAAAATTATGCTAAGTTACTAAACATTTATTAAGCGTATTATCCATTAATCATACTAAGAATTTACTAATACACATGTATTAAGATACCCATAGATTTCAATAATCTCATACCATCAATGGTATGTTATTCCTGACATTCAGCAAATATTTTATAATGTCTGAGTTACAAGGCACATGTGAGCATCATTTAGACCCACAAACAGGTGTGCCATCTGAAGACTTTCTGGCACGTTCTACTCATCACCTTTAACTCATGTTGTCTCAATTGGTTACTATATTCTCACCTACTGACTTGGCTATCTCCACAAATTGTTACTACACATTACTGCATTTCTTGATCTCATTTTTTTTTACTACTTTCTAGATTACAGCATTTTATTTTATATATTTTATATATGTATTTTAATATTTTATATAATTCTTACATCATTTTTCATTTTTGCACAATGTATGCATTTTCATTTTGGTTATATTCCCCATACATTGCAACTCCCCTTATTTTGACCCTAATCCTTCCTCTCCCCGTCCCCTACCCCCCAACCCCACCCCCGTAGTGTGTCTCTGGTTTATAGTTGCTTGTTGATTTTGATTTTTACTTTGTATTAATTAGTCTTTTTCCTGGTCCCTTATTTAGGTTTTCTAAATTCCTGCTATGAGTGAGACCATCCGGTATTTTTCTTTTTCTTTCTGACTTATTTCACTGAGCATGATCCCTTCTAGCTCCATCCATGTTGCTGAAAACTCCATGTGTTTAACTTTTTTGATTGCTGAGTAATATTCCATGGTGTATATGTACCACATCTTCTTGATCCAGTCATCTACTTTTGGGCATTTGGGTTGTTTCCAAAGCTTAGCTATTGTAAATAGTGCTGCTATAAACATAGGGGTGCAGGTGCCCTTTGGAATTAATGTTTCTGTGTCATAGGAGTGGAATTGCTGGATCATATGGAAGCTCTATGTTTAGTAGGTCCAGAAATCTCCACACAGCTCTCCATAGTGGTTGGACCAGTTTGCACTCCCACCAGCAGGAGAGATCCTTTTTCGCCACAACCTCACCAACATTTGTTGTTGCTAGTTTTTTTAATATGTGCCATTCTCACTGGTGTAAGATGGTATCTCATTGTTGTTTTGATATGCATTTCCCTGATAACAAGTGATGTTGAACATTTTTTCATATGCCTGTTGACCATTTGCATTTCCTCTTTGGTGAAGTTTCTTTTTAGCTCTTCTGCCCATTTTTTGATTGGATTATTTTCTTTGTTTTTGTTGAGTCTCATCAGCTCTTTGTAGATTTTTGTGATCAGTCCTTTATCATTAGCGTTGTGTGCAAAAATTTTCTCCCAGTTGGTGGGGTTTCTCTTTGTTTTGGTTATTGTCTCTTTTGCTGTGCAGAAGCTCTTTGATGTAGTCCCAGCTGTTTATCTTTGCCTTCACTATCACTGCTTTGGGTGATGTGTCTGTAAAGATGTCTTTGGGGTGCATGTCATGTAGTGTTTCGCCTATATTTCCTTCTATATATTTTATGGTTTCAGGTCTTATGTCTAGTTCTTTAATCCATTTTGAGTTGGTTTTTACGCATGGTGTGAGATAGTAGTGAAGCTTGAAGCAATTTCTTTTGAGAACCAGAGCAATCTTAGAAAACATCTATATGGCAAAAAAAAAAAAAAAAAAGAAAAAAGAAAACATCTCTATGGCTAGCTAATAGGAAAACTAGTATTTCCTATTTCCAGCCAGGTGCATTCTGTTTCATGACACATTGCTTTCTGTGTACTTGTTTTTAGACTGAGAGAGTAAGTAGTCCTGGCAGGAGCATTGTTACAGAAATTCTCTTCCATATCTGAGGAGATACTTAGCCATCTCTACAAATAATGTCTCCAAAATCTTTCAGAAGTTTGTATAAGCCCAATAGTGAAAATCTATTGCTCCTGTATCTGTCATTTGATCATATATCCTTAAAGTTTAGGCAAATGTGTATTTTCATGCTTATACATCTAACATATGCTTTTATACACACACACATCATATGTATACATAGCAACACAAGCACCTGGCACTATTAAAGATGGTGTTCACAGACATATCACTAAGCAAGATTAGAAGGGTAAGTGCAATCTGTTGCCACTGCTTGAAGAATCAAAAGGCCTCGGAGGTGAGCAAATTGGTTTTTTAGATTAAGATCATCCTTATGAATCAATGATAGGTAAATTATGTCCAACTTTAATGCTCTAATTCTCTCTAAACCAGAAAGAAGTAGGGCCACCACTCATTGAGCTTTAGGGGAAAAGGCACTTCTTCCCTCCAGGCAAACCCAGCCTTATCCCTTGTTAAGAAGTTTGAATTTCATTTCCTGCACCCCTCCCATCTCAGCCTGGTACCCTTCTCAGGGTACAGCCAAACAGGAATACTGCTCAACATACAGTGCTTAAAAGTAATTGTTAACCTTTAAAAATTGGGGGATTTCACCTAAAATTCAAAATTCCGGTTTCTTGTAGGAAAAGAACTTGGCAATACTGGAGTTAAATTGCCGCAAATGGTACAAAAAGAACAAAACAACAACTAAAAAAGTTTCCCCAACCTTTATCCCCCTAATTCTTATCTCTAAATGCACTTACTGTAGCATAGGGAGCTTTTGATCTGGATCTGGAACCTTTTTTTTTTTTTTTTTAAATAAATTTTTTTCCCAAAGATTGATTGATTTATTTATACAAGCACTGGGTACAGTTAGAAGCGCGGGAGGGTGAGAGAATTGAGCAGAGCAGGCAGGAGGACCGAAGTACACTGCTGAGGGGAGCAGCGGGCGGCAGGAGAGGCCTGCGTGCCATGTGCGACCCTCCTCCGGTGGCCGGGGAGCAGCCGGGGATCAAATTGGCACCGCAGAGGCTGCGGGCAGCTTGGCAACCCAGCGCTCAACCGCTGCGCCACCGGGGAGGCCTTGATCTGGAAACTTCTTGGAAATACTTCAGATTCAATTCCTAATCAATAATGAATGTAGTATTACAGCATGCTTTAACTTTTCCATTTTAATATACCACAAAATGGGGCGGGAGGTTTCCTTTATAATCTTATATAGCCCTTTGTTTCCAAGTGGCTTCACAACTGTAGTCATGTCTTAAAGAACATTTGATACAGGATAGATGACCTCCTCATTTTCTAAACAATGCAATAGACTTTTAAAAATGCCTCATGATTGCTTCTGAGGAAAACCATTATTTGGTTCTATTGCAAGGCAAGGTAGGAATCTCCTGATAAGCTGGTTCTTTTGGTCTAGCAGGTTTATGTGACTCAACTCTTTTCTTCTAAACATTTACAGACCAGCATACTGTGCATACTCCACACCTTAATTTTTTGCTGTTACCTGACCTAAACTGACTGCAGAACCAAAATACATTTTCTAGTTTTCTAACAAGATGTTTGCTGAGACTTGTTTTAATAATTAGAACCTAAATTGGACTTGGTGGGGTTTTGAAGAGCAAGAGGAGTTTCATTGGTCACATTCGCAAAGGTGATTCTTTTAAACCAAAGTGTCTTTAAGAATTTATTTGCTGGCCAGAACAATTTCATGATCTCAGATATTTCAGAGTTGGCTTAATGCCTGCAATAGCTTACCTACTGGATTGGCTGATCTTTAAATTTCCTCTCAACTTATACTTTCTAAGCTATTTTTCAAGCTTGAGAGAAAGCTGGTCTCAGTATATTGGAGTAATGTTGAAAATTTAGAGCTACAAAAGACCAAAAACAGTACTCAGTTTCCTTTTTCCATTTTTTATTGTACCTCATGGAATGACATGCAGGAAAAGACTTTTGAAATACACACCCAAGATATTAATTGTTCTAAATAAATCTTGGCTCAGATAATTCATTTCTTAAACTATGGAGAAAATTTGCAAATAGCCTCAGGTCAATTCCTGAATAAATGGAAGTGTATTTTTAAGGTAAACACTGAATGGTTATTAGATTGATATTTTGGGTCCCCGTTGTAGGAAATTAGTAACCCCTGAATAAGCATGTCATTTCTAGGAGCAAGTAATACCAAACTTTCACTTCCAGACTAGAAGAGGATATTACTGAAAGTGAATATTGATTTCATCAGAGTATACTATAATTAGTGTCAAAAGTTTTTTAACTCATCTATGTATGATTGTGTCAATGTTTAAGTAGCTTTTGGAAATATTTATCTGTCATCCAAGCTACTCCTTAAGATATTTGCTCAGTGCCAGATTATTCTATCTAGAAATTTAATATTGAAGGAAATGGTCAAAGCTGTCCAAAAGATGTTGTAAGACATGTCTAGTGATGTAATAATGGAGAAGTGCTCTGAATAAAAAATAGAGCAGAGGGCTGGAGAGAATGGGTATGTTAATTTATATGGGATGATATATTGTATGTTTTACTTAATAGAATCACATATGATTAGGATTAAACCAGTGGCTGAAAATACAGCAACCAAGCTCATTTGAAAAATTATGTTAAGATCTGAATTATTACAAGAGCTTTGTTTCTGATTTTCAAATTTTAAAATAAAATGCCATTTTACTTAAATATGGGACTTTTAACCACAAAGGGCTAGCCTTTTTTTTTTTAAGAGGAATTGTTGGAGAATGTCACAGAAAAAAATCAGCTATAGCTTCACAAAGACAATATTATAGACTTAAGGATTTTTTTTTTTTTAGACTTAAGGATTTTAATGGATCATACCCTAAGGAAAGAATTGAAGTTAAGGGAGATTAAATCCCTGAAGTTCTGCCAAACAGTTGGTGGCCAAACAATAAACTAGGAAGGAATTGAAAAACTAAGTATGTTCAGAGGAGGTGAAAAGGGATGCATGAACTCTGAAAACTACGGTTTAAAGTTGTGTGGAAATGACTCAGTGGGAGAAAGAAATATCTAAGACAAGGGGAATACAATGTAGAAATACTCTGTTGCTTCCAGAGAAATAAAAAATCTGCATAAGTTCAGGGCAGGGGCTTCTTGACTTGGATTTATGCCCAGGTATAGCTAACTATCAAGGATTGGTGAACAACTTCTTCCCCCACAGCATAACTAAATGAGTCTTGTTCTTTCTCCCATCTTGGCTTTTCATTTTTAGCCTCAGTTTATAAACCCTATTTCCATCCCTGGGGTCATCCTCCAAGTTGGAATGCTGAATTCTGAATGAAATTTTTTTTTTAATTTTTTAAAAAAGATTTACTTATGCATACAAGAACTGGGGTACAGGCCAGAGGTGTGGGAGGTGAGAGGATTCACCAGATGCAGAGCGAGGTTATCCGAACAGCTAGATACACAAGTACACTGCTGAGGGGGAGCAGCAGGTCAGTCAGGAGCCATCTGCTGTGCCATGTGGATTGCACAGGGGATCAAACTCGTGCTGCAGAGGCTGCGGACAGCTTCACAGCACTGCGCTTAACCCCTTGTGCCACCAGGGAGGGCCCTGAATGAATCTCTCTTACCTAAATCTAAGTGGATACATCTTTGGAATTCCATATTGAGGTCTGTTTATTCTCTAAATCTTTGCTAATCTGTGTCAGTCACTCCTCTGTGCCCCATCAGACAGCCTTTTGTGCTAACTGGAAGGCAGTAAAGTTAGTGAAAAGACTTAAGGGTTAGGGAGTCCTAGGTTGGAATTTTTATCTCTACCCCTGACTAGCTCTGTGAAGTACGTTAAATCAGTTTCTCTAAACCCCATATTCCTCATCTGAAACTGGGAAATCAAGTCTTTCTTTGCATATCTGTTATATAAAATTATGGAAAGCCTTTGGACAGTTTTTGGTGCATAGTGAGATACCCAGTACACTTTGATTTTTATTGTTAGCTTTTAACATGTAGGAACTATAAGGAAAAGTAGATTTTAGGAGAGAGGAATCAGAAAACCAGGCCTGGGAGAGCAAAGGTAAGATTGGGGACAGATGTTGAGAGCAAACTGGATACAAATGCAAAGTCAAGGGAAGCCAGGATCAAACACCAGGGGAAGAGTGAGAGATTATGCATAGACAGCTGATCATTAGAGGTCAGAGCACAGATGAGGTGGTCACATATATATATATATACACACACACACATATATATATATATTCAAAAGAGCAGGGTTATTACAAAAAAGGAAAGGAAAGGATACCTGCACAGACACAAGCAAGCAGGAAAGCTGTGTATCAAGTATTCTTGACCATGGTGTAGTAAAAAGGTAGCCAGATTATGTTTAATGTGCCCTGAGAGTACCATCCTATTTAGTCATCCTAAAAGTCCTATGGATTAGGTACTACTATAATTTACAGATGAAGATATTAAAATAGATTATTTAAAAGACACAACTAGTAAATAGTAGAGTGTAGATGCCAACCCAGAGCCAATGCTTTTAATTATTATCTAGTAGGTAGCTTCACTTTGAAGCCTTTTGTTGCTGATCAGGGCCAAACCGAAAGATGGGCAGCCAACAAAGCCAAAGTAAATAACTCTAATGCAGTTATTAACATTATTAGCAAACAATAAAGCATTTGAAGAACTGCTGTTAACCTCTGTATTCTCTATTATGCAAGGCATTGTAAAGGCTTGTAGAGATGCTTTCTTCCCCTTCACATCACATTTTCCTCATACCTCAAGCTGCACTATCTAGCTTCTGAGTCAAGCTAACCACTGAAACTCCTCTTAATGAGATAACAAATAACCCCTCTGGTGTTGGACTCAGGGGATGCTTTTCAATGATTAATTCAGTGACTCTACATTCTACACTTGGTGATTGATCATCTGTCATTTTCATAATTTCCTTTCAGGGGCATCTCCAACCCATTTTTAATTCCAATTTCTTCCTATTTTTTCTTGTGCTGGTCCTTAAATGTGGATCTTTTCCAAAAGTATATCCACATGTCTTTAATCTACATACTCAAATATTCTCACCTACTTCCTGGTTCCAGCTACCACTGAAATGCTGAAGTTAAGGGAGTGGTTCCATACCCTTGACCACCATAAACTTGAGAGAAAGATCATTAACATATTGAATTACTCCTGCTTACATAAGCATCTAAAATTCAATTGTGTTAAGCTGAACACATGCAACTTGCCTGCTTTATTCCCACTCCACTTTCCTCTTATGTGTTATTTCGGTAGAGGTGCTGCCATCCCCCAGTTATTCAAACCTACAACCTCAAAGTCATGTTTACCTCCTTCCCAATCCTCTCAATGTCTAGGAGCAGTCAGTTCTACTTTCTTCATCTTTTGAATATTTTTTTTTAGTTACTTCTCTCCACAGATCTAGGAAAACCTAGCGGAAGCTAATAAGGGCCACTTAGGTGATCAGCATCACTTCCTCCTGCCTTCCACTGTTTTCTCCACCTTAGTCATTAACTTTTTAAAGTCTAAATGCAGGAAATCATGTGAACAGATTTGAGCTTTTAACCCTTCCTTTGACCTTTATTACTGTCAGGATAAACTGTAAGCTCTTCAACAAGGCATGCAGATTTCTCTGGAATTCTATTGAGCCAGAGAAACCTTGCTCACCTCTTGCACCAAACTTCTGTGTTTTCCTAAACATACCATGCCTTGCTAACTTTTCTCAACCTTTAATTTCAGTCCTGAAGTTACTTCTTCCAGGAAGCAGCCTCTGATATCCGACTGAGTTAAATAATTCTCCTAGTGCCCCTATATTCTTGTGAATATTTCTGTCACTTCATTTTCAATATTGATTTATGATTCCCATGTCTATCTTCTCCACTAGTTGGGAAATTGTTGGTTGAGGGAGGAACTATTCTTCTTTTTTTAACTGAGGTGAGGTCTAACATTGGTTTACAACATTGTATGTGATTGAGAGACATAGGCTTACACCCGCTTAGATGCATGTCCTCACACTACACCCACTACCAAGGCACCCATAGTTCTCCACCATAGTTCGTTATGCTCCCCTCCCTAGTCTATTCCCCATCCCCATCTCGTATCCTCAATTCCACAGTGAGTTTTCCAGGGTTTGTTACTGGTTTGGCTTATCCAATGATGTGTTTTGTTTCTCTATGGTCCACATAAAAGTAAAACCATCTGGTGTTTCTTTCTTCTTCTGCCTTATTTTGCTAAGCATTATTGCCCCCAATGGGTAAGAACGAGTGAATCCCAGGGCCTAACACACAGTAGAGCCTTAGTGACCCTTGCTGAATGAATAAATTTTCCAAGGTTACGTTGCAAATGTAACCCACTTAAACCCCATGCACTCTCAAGCCCATGTTCTTTCTACTAGTGCATTTGTGCACATAGTGTTTGGAGTCCTTAAAAAGCTGTTTAGGGAATCAACCCCTATCATAAGGTCTTTATTCAAATTTTTAAAATCTTTAAAAATTCTTTAATAATACAGTCCCATGATTCAGTAATCAAACAGTATCAAACAGTATAAAAAGATATATAGCACCCAAAACAATTGAAAGCAAATGGTCTGAAAGAGATATTTATATAAGCATGTTCCTAGCAGCATTTATCACCATAGCTAATATGTGGAAACAACCCAAGTGTCCATCAACCGATGAATGAATAAGCAAAATGTGGTATACAATGGAATGTTATTAAGGCTTAAAAAGAAAGGGAATTCTGTAATATGCTACAACTTCGGTGAACCTTGCGGGCATTATGCTAAGTGAAATAAGCCAGTCATAGAAAGTGAGATACTTAGAGTAGTTGAAATCATAACACAGTATAATGGTGGTTACCAGGGACTGGGAGGAGGGGAGAATGGACGTTACCATTTAATGGGTATTTAATTTCAGGGTTGCAAGATGAAGTTAAGATGGATGGATGTTGGTGATGGCTATGCAGTCTGAATGTACATAATACCACTAAACTGGATATTTTTAAATGGTTAAGATGGTAAACTTTATGCTGAGTATTTCACTGCAATAAAAAAAAATTTAAAAGCCCAACATCAACAAAAGATACACCATAAATAGCCTTATTCCAATCTTTCCCTGTTATCTTCTTAGTTCCCACTCCTTCTGTCCCAAGCTAACCAATCTTGTTAGTTTCTGTGTCTCGTTCCAGGTCTTTTGCAAATGCAAGCAATTATGAAGCTACAGATTATTTGTCACATCCTGACCTTTAAAAAAAGGTATTAAGATTTATTAATTTCTCTACGTTTTCTGAAGTCAATATGTATTGGTAAAAAGCCAATTAGTATCCAGCTTGAATGCACTCACAAGATGGAGATATTGAAAAGGATAATTATTTGATGACATTGTAAAATAATCTTGCTCACTGCCATTGGGACCTCTAGGGACATTCAGTGTCCCCCAGGGTAGAGTCTGGTACAAGTATCTTCCTCATGCAGATTCTCAAGCTCTCCAGAATTATATTTTCTCTGGGACTCTCCTAGGCCACTCCCTCTGATGCAACGTCTATGTTGGGCAGAAAGGAGGGTGTTGAACAGCCTTCCCCTTCTGAGCTGTCAGGGGTGACGCCTCTTTCCAGAACAATTCAGGCTTCTCAGTGACTTAGATCTCAGCTCCAACATCTTCATTCTGAAGGAGAATGGACAGAATGCTTCATTCTGGGAAGAAACAGTGTTTCATGTCTTGCTGAACCTGCCCAACACAGACCCTCACAATGGTTCTAGAAGAAATCTCGACAAGTCTTATCATGTGGTTTTTCTACGCCTTGATCCCTTGTTTGCTTGTAGGTAAGTATGAATTAGTCAGTAGTCTGGGACTTGAATATAGATTTTAAAAAGTGTGAACAATACTTTCCCAGGTTTTGGGGCTGAAATATATGCATAGGATATCTTAATGTCTCTTTTAAGAAAGGTTTCTCACCTCCTAAACCTGTATCCCCACATACCATAGAAAAGAAAAAGCCATTCCATTTGAGGGCTCTCTCCTAATGTCTGTAGAACAATCTAGAAAGATAATCCATCAAAATGAATGATTTAAAGACTAGCAGAGTTTCATGCATTTTGTTTTTTATCTCATCTGGTTCTAAAAGTAGCAACATAGCTATCTCATTCTCTTTGTTTATGCCTCTGAGGTGTTAACTGTAAGGACAAGTAAAATAAAGATTCTAACAAAATACACATGAATGAAAAATTTGCAACCTTGATATTGAGTTATGGAAATTGGAGTTCTTTCCTGGTCACTGCAGAAAAGATGGCAATCAAGTATTCCATAGAATTTTAAAAGTATTTGGCTTAGAGCATTTTTTCCTGCCAATAAGATTACGTAATTTTCTCTGCTTCAGTCTTGGCTGCTTGTCATTACATGCTTTATTGTTTCAAAATCGAATTTCCTTAGCCTTTGATGTCTTATTGTGTCAAATGACATTTGAAAGAAATTTCTAATTTTAATAACTCTAAGGTGCTGGGCACTCTGCAGTATTGGTGAAAGTCCTGAATATTTCCTTTTCTTAAACACAGAGTACAAATTATTCTAGTTAGTTTAAATCATGAAGCAGATCACTGCTAAGGCGATTTGCAAATGTTTAGAACTGACTTAAACATCAAATTTGTAGTGTACCTTCACAGCTCCAATTGCTTATCAAATGAATTTCAAATCTGCTATTTGTTTCATGACCTAACACATTCAGACTCTGATTTAATCTGTCACTGCTCCTTGAAAACAAACACAAACCACTCTGGGCTGCTGTTTTCTCAGTTGGCATATTGTACTCACATTTCCTCCTCCTGGTGTTAATTGTTGGAATTTCCCCACCGAAGCCTCATATCCAGTTCTCTTCTCCATCCCAAGCCAATTCCAAATGGGTTGCTCTTCCTACAGACCCTCTCCAGACTTATCTTTCTTTTGACACTTGATCCTATGTATTCTGGCTTGGTGGGTTACTTCTATTTCCTACATTGACCTGAGGGCAGGGTCTGGGCATTCCTCCTAGCGCCACAGCCCCTAGCATAGACTAAGCAATTTGATTAATTGTTTGTTATTTGATTGATTACTTGTTAGAACAAACAAGTTGCCAGGGACACATTCCTTCTAAGCCAAAGGGTTTAGAGTTAAAGGTGATAAGAAAGGACCCAAATAAGGGGACTTGACAGTAGAACCAGTGAGGGCATCATTCCAGGTGGGAAACATAAGAACTTCCTGCCTGGGAAGTTTGCCTAAGGGCTGCCTTTAAGCTGCTTCCTCAAGCAAGATTTTAGGAAACAGGTGTCCTGCATAAACCTCAGGGAGCAAAAAAAGGTCTAATTTATGATAGATAGGGATTAGGGTACAAGAAGTCAGACTAATTTCACTTAGTGAGCTAAGACTTCGTACACTAGTTTTCATTAATCCAGCATTTTTGAGCACCTTCTATGTGCTAGGTTCTGGAGTGGGTTCTTATTAGAAATGAACTAGAGTGTCCTCAGGGAACTTGGAGCGGCTGGATGTACAGTTGTCTTTTGACCTTTGGGGATTTACCGTTCAGACTTTGAACAGTTCTTTAGCCACTATAGGTACAATCTATATCATGGTTCTCAATCTCAAATGCACCTTGGGATCACCTGGGAGCTTTTGAAACTACAAATCCCCAGGATTTCACAGTCAGAGAATCTTATTTAAGTAATCCATGGTACTGTCTGATATTTTAAAACTCCCTGGGTGGGGTTCCTTAGGGAAGTGGTGTATTCCAGGACTGGACAGAATGGAAGTGTTGAGAAGGGATGTAGTCTTTAAAGCAACAAGTATCCCAGAATGGAAAATGGACATTAGTGGGAAAACTGGCAAAATCCAAATAAAGTCTGGAGTTTAGTTAATAGTAATGTACCAATAGTGCCATGTTTTTGAGAAATACATGAGGGTTATGAAAGATATTAGCTTTAGGGAAGGCTGCTGAAGGGCATATAGGAAACTCTGTTTACTGTTTGCATCTTATTGTGTAATTCTAAAATTTAGTAATTCTAAAATTACTCTAAAAATACAAAAAATATATTAATGGTTATTAGAAGTGAATAAGGAAGGAGAGTAGGTAAAAAGGGCAAAAGGGATCAATTGTCTGTGAAGGATAGACTTAGAATTTTAGTGGTGAACTCAATGGTGTATATGCAGATGTTGATTTATAATGATGCATGCCTGAAATTTATATATGCTATAATGTAATGTTACTTCTTTACAAAATTTAAAGGAAAAAAAGTCTATTTATAAAAATAAAATGAAAAAAGAGAGTGAGGGATGGGAATATGTCAAAAGGACACAGGAGCCAATCTGAAAGAGCTCTCAGTGACCAAAGCTGGATCATTTAGGTAAAAAAATAATAAATAGCAATAGTATAAAATAAAAACAAAAAATAAAAAACAGCAAAAGGAAAAAAAATAGTATAAAATAAATATTCATTAGTTCAAACTGACATAAATAATAATTGAATAAATAAATGGTAGAGAAGGAATTGCTTTTTCTCACAGAATTCCAATTAATAGAAAATTGCTATTAGAACATCACAGTAACAATTGTTGCAAATAATATCCATGCTAAAATTAATGATTGAATGTTTTAGGAAAAACAAACAATTGCATAGTGTCAAAGTATTTCTCCTAAGTTATTTGTTAGTTACAAATGGTAAATAGTGCTTTTACTCTTTTTTTTTTTTTTAAAGATTTATGTATTTATTTATTTATTTATACAAGCACTGGGTACAGTCAGAAGCGCAGGAGGGTGAGAGAATTCACCAGAGCCAGAGCGGGGAGCAGAGCAGGCAGAAGGACCGAAGTACACTGCTGAGGGGAGCAGCGGGCGGCAGGAGAGGTCTGTGCTCCATGTGGGACCCTCCTCTGGTGGCCTGGGAGCAGCCGGGGATCGAACCGGTGCTGCAGAGGCTGTGCGCAGCTTGGCAACCCAGCGCTCAACTGCTGCGCCACCGGGGAGGCCCAATAGTGCTTTACTCTTGAGATACTATCTTAACTATGTGATCAAGGTTAACATGGCCAGTAATAAGACATATTAACATCATGTATTTTATGTGAGAACATGCCAAAAATGTATAACCATAATCAAATTATATGAAAACATTAGTCAAGCTCAAACTGAGGAATAATCTATAAAACAACCGACCACTACTTTGCAAAAAATGTCAAGGTTATAAAACACAAAAATATGAACAGGCTAGAAGAGCTTAATATATATGACAAGAAAATGTGGGATCCTGACTTGTTCCTGGAACAAAAAAATAAGGACATTAGGAGAAAGACTGGTGAAATCAAGTAAATATAGAAGCTTAATTAATGATATTGCACCAATATTAATATCTTAGTTTTCCTAAGCGTTCATTACTATGTATATATGGAAAGCAAAGTTAAAAAGTATATGGAAGTTCTATATACTATCTTTGCAACTTTTTAGTAAGTATGAAACTATAGCAAAATAAAATTTAGAAAAAAACACACAACAAAAAAAAGTCACCCAGTGATTCTACCATGCAGAAAAGTTGAAAACCATGGGCATTATGGCCTCTAGACCAGTGATTCTCAAACTCTTGTGTGTATATAATTTACTTGGAGAGCTTATTAAAAATCAGTTTCTGGTTCAATGTGGTGTAGAGTGGAGTTGGAGAGTCTGCATTTCTAATAAACTCCTGGGTAATGTGATGCTGCTGATCCAAAGACCATGTATGAAGAGCTTGAAGTCTTAGCTGAAGCATGAATTTGAAATTTGAGGCTGGGAGGTGGGCACCAGTTACTTGGGTAGTGAGCAATGCCAGCAACCTACTTAACAGCTGTGTTCTAGCTCTGCCTTGTTTGTTTCTTCTGGTCACATAGAAGATAAATATATTGAGTAATTTGTTATATTTGAGGTCAAAATTTTAGGGTACACTGGCAGTTTATAATGCCAATATCCCCTGCAGTGGAAGGCTCATGTGATAGGCAAACTGGTCCCCCAAAGATGTCTGCACTGTAATCCCTGGAAATGTTAATGTGTTGTCTCTAATAGAAAAGAGATTCTCAATCTGTGATTAATGTTATGCGACTTTGAGAGTGGGGGGTTACCCTGTGTAAGGGGCAGGACAGGGCACAAGGCAGGTTTTCTGATCCCATGCAGATCGGGTAAAGGAGGAGTCAGAGTCCTCAGTAGTTTTGCAGGTTTTTTATTTGGGGTTCACCAGGCATATGGCAGGCAGGGGTGCTGGCTGGGGGGCTGGGAGGCTGGCAGGCCTCCCAGCCCCCAGCAAGTCCTCACTCTATCTGGGCTCTCTAGCGTTCGTTCTGCTGCTTCTCGGCTTCGGCTGCGGCTGCTGCTGCTGCTGGTGCTGGTGCTGCTGGCGTCCCCCCGTGACGCCGCCCTTAAAAGCACAGTCTTAGCTCAGCTGAATCCCATCTACCTATGCCCACACCCTATTCCAGGTGCCCACCATCAGGCATGCATTCAGGACAAGGATCCATCATCTATCCTGATGGCGGAAGGGCAGAAAAGCCTGACATTTTCTTTACCCTACACCCTGGATTATCAGGGTGGGCCCAATCTAATCACATGAGTGTTTCAAAGCTGAGAACTTTTCCTGGTTCAGTGAGAGAGATGGGAGGACAGAAGATGAGGCAGGAGAAATTCAGAGGATGAAAGGAAGAGCCATTGTTGAGTCTGAAGGTGGTGAAGGCATGAGGTCATGAGCAAGGTACGTAGGTGGCCACTAGAAGCCGGGGATGGCAATGCAACATATTCTCCCCTAGAGTCTCTAGAAAGAATGCAGTTCTGCCAGCACCTTGAT